TTTAAAATAATTATTTAATTTATCAAATTTCCCTCGATTAAAATTAAATTTTTTTTTTATAAGTACAATGTTGTCAATACACTCTTCATGACTGTAGTTAAATTTAATAATGTGATAACCGTGATTAACAACTCCCAACGGTGGAAGGTGTACCAGTTTATAAACTCTATTTTTATTCTCAGCTATAATCAAATCCAGTACATTCGTTTCATTCCCAATGTTATTTTGAAACATTGTTTTAATCACATTCTGATGCATGAAGCAATTGTTTAAATATTCTAAGAAAATTTTGGCTGGTGTATCAGTCTCACTAGTTAGTGTTTAGCTGAGTTTTTGCTTAAAATTTTACCTTAAACATAATTTCATCAAGCTTTAACTGTTTTAAGTACTTCGAATTTTAAATTTGAATATCATATATTTAATTTGGTGAATCATAATATATTAAGAAGATTCGTTAAAAAAATAACTCGTTTAAAGCGCTTAATTAGAAAATTCATTTTGCATTTTTTATTTATTCAAATTTAAAAGTTAAACTACTTATAAAGTCAAAAGTAAAATTATTTTTAATGTCTAATTTTTTAAATGTAATTTACTAAAAAATGATGTCTAACCATGATTTTAAGTTTTCATCAAAAAAATAAAATTGTTTTGCTGTATGTATAGATTACCCCACCCTACCCTATATAACCTTATATATTTAGAAATTTGGACATAGACATGTTTGAAACTGGGATTAATGAAAGTCATGGATTCAAATTAATCGAAATAATTTCTCAATTTTATTGCAAAGTAAAAATATATGATCTTGGAAATTAAACATATATAAGTTATATATGAATACAAAACACAAATTATTCTCACACATTATAGGGTCGTGTTTAAAAACTTTCAAATTGTTTAAATATTGCAAAATCGTATATCATTGGAAAGAGCTTTAAAAAATTTTTCAAAATTGAACTTTTTATAAAAATTGGGTTATTCTACAAAATGTTTTGAGCATTAAAATGGCAAAATCTGGTTTCAAGGATTTAATAAAACTGTGACAAATTTATGAAGTTTTTGTAACTTAAACTACCCAAACATTGTCAATTCTTTACTATATGCCTGCAACATGGAATCAAAAGATAGGTGTATAAATGCTCTAAATATTTCATTGGTATCTAACAGCCGGGCTTGTTCAGGGGACCAGAGGGAGAACCAAACCACCTTTTTCACCTTAATAAAATGTGTATTTCTTCCGTAAAAACTTTTTTTTTTTTTATAGTATTTATTATATGTACAAAGATTTTATTACTTTATTTCAAATCACTAACAAATATTAGAACAGTAAATTGGAAACAAACTTTATAAGTTTTAGAAAGAGCAGGATGTGGTGGTGATACTATAAAGCACACATTAGTATCAAAAGCCTTTTATTATTATAAATATTTTTATCATTATGAAAATGAGTGAAAGATAGTATAAAAAATAAAAGGTACTTTATTAAATAACAATTCGGTGACATTGGTGACATTCATAAGTTGAAGTTTTAATTGAGGGGAAGGAAAAGATGAATCCAATCAAATAAAAAAACTTTTTAAATAAAGTTAGCATTATAAAAATCGGTAGGGTATAAAAAAATGTATAATGTAAATGTATGTAGAACACGAATAATGAAAACTTTTGCAAGAATTTTGTAAACTATTACACTAAAGATAAAAAATAGCACTCAAAATGTTTTTATTCTAAAACTTTTTGCTTTAAGTGAATGATTAGTAATTAGCAGCTTTGTTGTCTGCTGCAAAGTTTATTTAATATTACTTTATTTCAAATCACTAACAAATATTAGAACAGTAAATTAGAGACAAATTTTATAAGTTTTAGAAAGAGCAGGATGTGGTGGTGATACTATAAAGCACACATTAGTATCAAAAGTCTTTTATTATTATAAATATTTTTATCATTATGAAAATGAGTGAAAGATGGTATAAAAAAAAAAAAAGATACTTTATTAAATAACAATTCGGTGACATTGGTGACATTCATAAGTTGAAGTTTTTAATTGAGGGGAGAGAAAAGATGAATCCAATCAATTAAAAAAACTTTTTAAATAAAGTTAGCATTATAAAAATCGTAAGGTACAAAAAAATGTATAATGTAAATGTATGTAGAACACGAATAATGAAAACTTTTGCAAGAATTTTGTAAACTATTACACTAAAGATAAAAAAATGTTCAAAATTCAAAATGTTTTTATTCTAAAACTTTTTGCTTAAAGTGAATGATTAGTAATTAGCAGCTTTATTGTCTGCTGCAAAGTTTATTTAATATTAAATTTAACGCAATATTATATTACACTTACCAAGTATAAAATTTATATAATATACTATATAGTATTGATACAAGTTACTTGTATATTACTTATTACTGCTATTATACAATTATATTACTAAATTATATTTCAGTATATTCAGTATATTCACTTGTCTAATAAACATAAAACGATTATTCCTCTTTTGATCTTAATAATGATTTATAAATGATGCTAATATACGATAAAAATAAATGATGCTAATATACGATAAAAATAAATGATGCTAATATACGATAAAAATAAATGATGCTAATATACGATAAAAATAAATGATGCTAATATACGATAAAAATAAATGATGCTAATATACGATAAAAATAAATGATGCTAATATACGATAAAAATAAATGATGCTAATATACGATAAAAATAAATGATGCTAATATACGATAAAAATAAATGATGCTAATATACGATAAAAATAAATGATGCTAATATACGATAAAAATAAATGATGCTAATATACGATAAAAATAAATGATGCTAATATACGATAAAAATAAATGATGCTAATATACGATAAAAATAAATGATGCTAATATACGATAAAAATAAATGATGCTAATATACGATAAAAATAAATGATGCTAATATACGATAAAAATAAATGATGCTAATATACGATAAAAATAAATGATGCTAATATACGATAAAAATAAATGATGCTAATATACGATAAAAATAAATGATGCTAATATACGATAAAAATAAATGATGCTAATATACGATAAAAATAAATGATGCTAATATACGATAAAAATAAATGATGCTAATATACGATAAAAATAAATGATGCTAATATACGATAAAAATAAATGATGCTAATATACGATAAAAATAAATGATGCTAATATACGATAAAAATAAATGATGCTAATATACGATAAAAATAAATGATGCTAATATACGATAAAAATAAATGATGCTAATATACGATAAAAATAAATGATGCTAATATACGATAAAAATAAATAATGCTAATATACGATAAAAATAAATGATGCTAATATACGATAAAAATAAATAATGCTAATATACGATAAAAATAAATGATGCTAATATACGATAAAAATAAATGATGCTAATATACGATAAAAATAAATGATGCTAATATACGATAAAAATAAATGATGCTAATATACGATAAAAATAAATGATGCTAATATACGATAAAAATAAATGATGCTAATATACGATAAAAATAAATGATGCTAATATACGATAAAAATAAATGATGCTAATATACGATAAAAATAAATGATGCTAATATACGATAAAAATAAATGATGCTAATATACGATAAAAATAAATGATGCTAATATACGATAAAAATAAATGATGCTAATATACGATAAAAATAAATGATGCTAATATACGATAAAAATAAATGATGCTAATATACGATAAAAATAGTTGAATATTTTGAAACACTCAAATATAGAACTAAAAGTATAAATAAAAAATTATCTTCAAAAAGATGTCAAAAGATTTTTTAAAGGATTCATTTTAAGAATCCACGTGATGTCACAAGATTACTTATCGAAACTTGGAAATCTATGGTTTCACAGAAATGCCAATGGTCCTTGGGAAAACCTAAAATCAATCCGCGCATCTTCAGGTTTACTTGACATTTTGACAATATTAGACAAAAAAAATTATCTGAAATCCTGAAATTTTCATTAAATCCAATTAATTTAGTGACAATCAAATAAATTAATTTAATAAACATTGCATTTTTATTTTGTACTTTCCCAGACAGCAAGCTAACATTGGCCCAACATAAGTTTTAACATTGGCAAGCTTATTCCGTTGGGCCAACATTTAGCACATGTTTTTTTTTCGGCGTATTATTTTCAATTCTGCAAATTGGTTTTTTCCAAATATTGTACTTTATTGGGCCAACATTTAGCCAATGCTTTTTTTCCGGCGTAATATTGCAATTCTACAAATCGATTTTTTGCAATTATCGTACTACGTTGGGCCAACATTTGACCAATGCAGTTTAGGCTTCATATTTTGCTGTTCTTACATTTATGCCGTAGCCAATATTCGGCCAATGTAGTTGCGGATTAGTAAATATTTTTAAATTTGTTGCAAAACATTTTTAAAAATGGTATCGTTTGACAAAATAAAAAATGGTTTTGATATTATCTTTCCATTTTTTTAAATTATAAAAATAAAAAAAAAGAAGGTATATTTATGAATCTCCTAAGAATCTTAAAAGATTCCTTATAAGAAATAAATTTCAAGAGATTCTCATGACTTGATATATTTTTTTTTAATTTTAAATGATATGCTTAAAAATTTTTTTACTACAATCTAAATTATTAATGTAATAATAAAGGCAATAATCAAATTATTTTTGTGTAAGATCTTAAAGTTATATTTTTATTTTTATTGCTGTATGGACATTTCAAATGTTTGATTTATTCGATAATCTTTATTAAATAAATGTAACATTTCAAATGTTCGATTTATTTAATAAAAAAGACATTTTGAATGTCTTCTTTATTAAATAAATCAAACATTTAAAATGTCATTCAGTAAAAGTTTTTTTTTATAATTTATTTATAATAGTTTAAATTACATATTTAGTAGCTATTATAAGATATATTTAGTAGCTATTATAAGATATATTATTTAAGGTATCAATAATATATATGTGGCATTGAAGTTGTTAGAAGCTGATATTTTACATCTAAATATGTCTCTTTTGTTTGGTTTTTTCTGTGTTTGATTGTGAAACCCCATCTATTAACATATCAAAACAGTGTACAAAAAGTGATAATACTAGAATTGGTATTCTAGTTATGTAGAGCTTTCTAATATTCCATCTTTCTGAGGCAGAGGGACGTTATTCTTGGTTTTATAATTTTTTCATTTAATATCTCTGGATATTTTTCATATTTAGTTTGCGTACAACAGTTTACAACTTTAGGCTTATACATTAACTTTAGTTATAACTTAATTATTAATGATTTGATTTATAGATTTTTAAAGCAATACAAGATTGAATTTAGCAGAAGGCTAAACTTCTACTCTGGAGACAAAAAAGGAAGACAGCGAAAATGACCAGCCAAAATAAAGATTAAAGAAACAAAAAATTGTGTATATTTTGGTGTAGATGATTTATCCTCAATTTCTTATAATTAAACAAAAAATATTATTAAACTTTGGAATTTACCTGTAACTCTAAACTCTTTACAGAAGTTCAATGTTTGCTCTGAGAAGTTGAATGAACAAAATTTATTAAATGGTAAGTTTTTATATAAAAGTCTTTATGTCTGATGATTGAAAATCTTTTTTCATAGGTTTAACTTTTACAATTTTAAAGACTTTTTCATATATTATAGTCAAAAAGTTAGAGTGTTTATTAACATTTTATTGTGTAATAATCAACATATCAAAGCTTACACCACAGGCTTGGTCGGGAAGCGAAATCGATCGCTCTCGAATACTGACCATGGAAATTATATTTAGTTGCGAAAAACTGGCCAGGTTTTTTAATTGTTTTGAGAACATTTAAATTTATGAACATAACAAAAAAATTTTGTTGGATTTCAAATTTCAACAGTTGATTTCAAATCCATTTGAAATCAACTGTTGAAAAAAACAACAGAGTATTCATATCAGTTTAAAGTTTTAACATTTGCTGGAGGTTCATTATTATTCATTATATAAACTTTTATTTAAATTTATCTAATAGACAAAGGTAATACAGTATTTTTAAAGATGATATTATTTTTAAAAATTGTATTAATAAAATTCAGAACTAAAATATGTAAAAAAAATTATTTACAAACATTGGACAAGGTCCGTACTGTACCTTGAAAATCTGGAAAATTTGTTAATATTGGCAAAAGTCGTGTAAAACCTGGAAAAGTCAGGGAATTATTTTTTTATTTAGATAGTTAGGAAATATCTGTAATTCTAGTTAAGAAGTTACTCGTTTCACAATTGAATGCTGTATACGTGATGACTCGTTTCACAATTGAATGCTGTATACGTGATGAGTCACACTTTTTTTAAAAGTGAGGTTATTGTAAAAGAATATTTTTTTTTAGGAAAAGATAAAATTATAAGATAAAATAAATTTTTTTTAAAAGATCTTTTTAAATTTTTTAAAATTTTTTTAAAAAGATTTTTTTAGATAAAAGAAACAATTTTTAGATAAAATAAAAATAAAATTTTCTACTGGAGAAATGTTTTTCACTCTCTTATAAAATTTTAATTTTGTGACTTGTCACATTTTCAAAATACAGCGCTCAATTAAGCTATTATGTTTTTTTTGGTGCTACCCATTTATTTTTTCTGAAACTTTTATTTTTCTTAGTGTTCATTCTTAGTCATCCTTAATAATAAGATCCATACTAAAATGTATGATAAGCTTTATACTAATATCCAACTTAACTAATAGCTAAGTTTTATAAGTTTTGTCATTCAAAGCATGTACAATTTTAGCATTTCCATTACATTAGATAGTAATTTTAAACATTTTGTAAAAACCATTGTTAAAAATGGTCAAGGAAATTCATCTGATTTTCATGTCATTGAACTTTATATAAATAGTTGACTACGAACCCTGTTGGAGAAACATTGTTTTAATATGAATTTTTTTGCTTTACTGTGCAATTTGTATCTTAAACATTAACGAGAATTGTTTTGTGTCAGTGCCAGAAATTAAATGCACACCTGCAAATTTCATAATTCATAAAAATATTATGAATCCATTAGCAAGTATATATATTTATCATTAAAAATTTGCCCCTCTGTCTTTAATTTTATCTGTTTTATTAGTGATTGTTGTATTTACTTTCATAAATTCTAAATATAATATGTAATTAGTTATATAGTTTCATAATAATATAATTAATTTTATTGTTTCAAGATAAAGTTGTATCCTTGAAAGATATGCTGGTTTTATTGGCATAATGGGCAAGCATTGAAGTGCAACTTGGTGAACTACAAAACACATCAAATTCAGTTATAAAAATTTGAGTAACAAAGGTATGCTAATTATTGTATTGCCTGAACGAGTGTCATTGCTGTTAAAAGAAGTGAAGAATTCAAATACTCTGGAAAAAAAAGACAAGAAAATACTTAAGTAAATGGTAAATATTTTTTTATGATCAGTTTATTCATTTTTTATGATATCTGAGTACAATTTAAAATACTTTAAACAAAATACTCTTTAAAGATTTTTTGTAAATGACATTTTATATTAATTTTAGTCTAAACAAAAGTTACTTTAATGATTGCCAGGTTGTGTATTTTTGCAGGTTATTTGGCACAAATTGGAGTTAAAAACGAAGGAGATTGTATATGTTATTTACTAAGAATAGTTTTTTAAAACGGCCTAACTGTAAAATTAAACTATGCAGAGAGAGGACAAAAAATTGGAATTGGAAAAATGTTGATTGCATATGTTGCTATTGGTAAGTGATTTAGAAAAGTATATTTTTTCAGTTTCAATTTTGCATTACAGAATTACTTTTAATTTCTTATATTTCTTTGGTGCAAAATTAAACAAACAACTATTTTTTTTGCAGAAACTGTGAAGTCAAATAAGCATGGCTTTTGCAGACATGTGATAGAGATAGCGGAAGAAAAAATAATAATCGTGGGCACCAAATATCATAAGCTAAACACGATTCAATAACAAGTAGCTCAGCCAATATCGAAACTACTTTATAAATTTTATAGTGAATTTTTTTATTTAAAACTCAATGTGTCAGTTTTGGGTTTGGTGTTTGCAATATGTATATATATCCGAACAATTATGTTAAACAAATAAATTTTTATACTTATATCATACATTCTTTTTTTTCTCTATAAATTTTCAAAATTTTTCAAATTATCTTATTTGTAACAACGATTTAATGTTGCATAAAACGTTAGGCTGATATATAACATACGATATTGGGCCAATGTTGTATACAACGTTAGGCCAATTTTGTATACAACGTTGGGCCAATGTTGTATACAACGTTGGGCCAATGTCGTATACAACATTGGCCTAACGTTATATACAACGTTGGGCCAATGTTGGGTTAACGTTGTATTCAACATTGGGCCAATCTCGTACACAACGTTGGGCCAATACCTAACTAATTATCAAACCTGCATTGAGCCAACATCAACTTTCAACGTTGGGCCAATGCATCATCGTGCATTGGCCCAACGTTGGTCCAATGTAAGCTTGCTGTCTAGGTTTCTATATTATTATTTTAAGAATCTAGAGTAGTAATTTAAAAAAAAACGTTAGAATTCGTTTTTCATTTTCAACAGATTTTTGCTATTTTATTGATATCGCCTTTTTTTTATCGTTAGTAATTCCTACTAATTTATTTATTTCACTTTTTTTTTTAGCTATTTAAAAAATTAAAGTAAAAATTATTAGCGCATCAATCCTTATATTAGAACCTCCCAATATGGCCGCTGAAAAATATTTTTGGCCTCAATTTTGATGCTAGAAACCTGGCCAGTTTTTATATAGATTGGTGGTTATTGATATATGATATATCAATACAAACTTATTTTGTGTTTATGAGCAATCAATCCATGTAAACAAATCGGAACTTGCCACGACTCGCTACAATTTTTAAGTTTTTTTAAAAATATAAAAGCTTGCATAGCTTTCATAGTTTCTTATTGTATATAAATAGTTTTTATTTAAACGATATATTTATTAAACTTTTTTATTATATTTATTTATAAATACATTCAGTACTTTACAGATTCTTTTTTAGCGTTTGGTAGATAAACTACCAAACTGAAAAAATTATTTGTATAGTTGATGATTCTTTTAGTAGATACTTCTTTTCTAATCAACCAATCAAAATCAATAGCTGTTGCAATTATTCATTATCCGAAGAAGACTAGAAGTCATAACACGATTCTTAGAGAAACTGCAGCAATATATGAGTGATGCGGTGGATAATTTGTGTGTAAATGACTCAAATAAACAATTAATGGAAAGTTTAAAATGGAAATACATAAAGTGTTTTATTTATGTTTTATTTAGTTAGCTTTATACCTTTGCTACTTAATTTTTATTTGATTTTTAGTTCATTTTGTTTCATGTCTTTGACAAAATCACACGAATTTTTTTACTATGTTAGGACCATGCATTATTGATAATTTACCATGTTTATATTTTTAAAAAAACTTTAAAAAAAAAGTGTCTCTGCTGTAAAAGGCCGTTATGTAAAAATACTATAACATATTTTTTCAATTTCATGCCTTAATATATGGATATTATCCATTGGATAAGTCATCGGTACCATATAACTTTTTTCTTATAAGACTAAATATCTAAAATATTTACAAATCCTGAAATTTTGGGTTTTCTCAGCTTTTGGGTTACGTCTGATATTAACTACAAAAGTTATGTGCAACTTCTTGCCTTGCCGAAAAAATAGCTTGTTAGGTGATAGGTAAAAAAATCAAATTTCAAACCCAGATTCCGAATGAGCAAAGCATTTCAAAAAAAAATTGTTTCAAGTTTTTCACTTTATTTTAACAAATATAAAAAAAACACCTACGAATTAAAACGGTTTCATATATACAATGCCGCAAAAGGTATTGCACTAATTATATTAAGTGTTATTATCATATTTAGCATTAACGATGCAACATATTTTCAAAAATTAAAATAAAATAAAGCTTAAATTAAATAACTTTATTATAGAAAATAATTTCTACATTTTTCTGATAATTTTTAATAACTACATATGTATAATTAAAACAAACTTAAAAAAAAAACATTTAAAAAAAAAAACATTTTAAAGAAAGAACCTCTTTTAAAAATATATCTGTTATTCATAAGCTGGTAGTTAATTTTTTTATATTTAAAAGGCTCAGAAATTAATATATAGCTTCTTCGTTTTCAGATAGCGAACTGTCTCTTTGTCGGTTTTCGTACAACATACCCTACAAATAAAAGCACAGTTATTCAAAAAGAATTTTTAATTGAATTCACTTATAAATAAAGATCAGTTTTTTATATGAATCACAATGAGAAACACTTTCTAATAGCTGGTAGCTTTTAATTAATAATTTGTTTTTTATAAATCACTATTTAAAATACTATATCATGAACACGTGTTAAAATTTTGAGTTGCTTTAATCTAAATACAATTTTAGGCATTTTTAGCATGTTAAGCTAATGTTAAAAAGTCTTTTCAACCCTTGAAAGATTTAGTAAAAGAATTTAAATTACACCTTTTGAGAATTATTTGAAAAGGAAACATGTATTAAATGGAATTATATTTAATGATTTAAGAAAATGTATTCTGATAAAATTGGAAATTACCTTTATTAATGTCAATACTTTTTTAACTTCGTTAGCAATATAGTAAAGCGTACTTTCTTGACTTTTTTCTTTTTTAACCCAATTTCCAGAAGCCAAATTGCAAACATCGGTCACAAAAACCGCAAGAATTAAGAGCAGAATAATAGCTTTCATTTTCACAATGAGTAAGCAAATGTGTCTTTGTATGATGTTCGAGCTAAAAATTTTCTCTATATTAAAAATAGAATTTGTTCGAAGCTGGTTTCAAGTTGAGCAGTGCCTTCCACTTAATCTGTTTAGTTTGTTCCCGACTACCTAATCTATTTAACTTGTTACCGTCACACATATATAGCTATATATAGCCAAAATTCTATTGACAAATTTTTTTTTGTATTATTTTATAATGAAAACTAAATGGTTTATTCTTTTGTCCGATAAATAATTTATTTATGGATTCTGTTTCAATACCATATGTCTGTCATTATTGTAAAGTTTATTGTAATCTATTCAACATTGACGTTGGATAAATGCTTTACAATAAGTTGGTTTTGATTTTAAAATCAATCTATTGCATTTGCACTTGTTCTACTCTCTCTTTTTTCTCTCTTTTTTATTTTTATTTAAAGTAAATCTACCAATCTATTGTTTTATGTTATATGCGGTGTTCTCTTATATCATATTAATTTCTAATGACAGTTTTGACGCTTTCTTTACAAATAATATTGTTATTGTATTTCATGTATATGGGTTCAATAGATATGTAATGGGTTCAACTTTTTTACTAAGCATCTTTCATACTTTTTTCTTAAGGTTTATATATCATAACTTTTCGCCCGTATTTTTTGATGAAGTATAAGTATGAGAAAATCTAAAGTAAAGCATCTGTTGCTAAAAACAAGTTTTAATATATATAACTGTTGTTTAGTTAATTTTTTATTGAAGTTTTTTTAGAGAACTAGTGTTCATAGATTTAATACTTCAGAATTAACAAATGCAATTTCCATTTAAAAATTACAAGGAAAAGTTTTATTAAACTTTATTAAAAGGAAGCATAACTTAGTGCCAATACTTAATGCCAATTAAGCTATGATAATTAACGCTGCGTCACGGACAGAAACAGTAATGATAATTTACACTGTGAAGCATTTGTTTGAAGCCAAATTAAGGCCAAGATATAATATCATTAATAATAATTTTCTCATGTTTAAATTTTTTGTTGTTTCTTTACGTTGCAATTTTACTGCAAAGTAATTATAAATGGATTAATATATTACAATTATATTTTTAATGAATGATACTTAAAGATGAAAAATAATTAATGCTGATCTATGTGAAAAATTTATGATGCAAACGCATTCATCAATTTCATATCATCTGCTATTCATGTAACTTTGATTAGTTGGATCAACAATGGTTTTTTATTGAAAAAATGTAGACTTGAAAATTAAAGAAACTTTTAGAATCAGACTCATAATTAAAAAAAAAAAGCAAAAAATAATTAGTGTCTAGAACCAAAGTTTGAATAAAATTTGAAAATCAAAGTTAAATCACATGAATCAAAACATTTAAATTTTAATTTTTTTTTAATTTTACTTTTCATGTTCACTCTTATTTTTATAATGTTTAACAATTTTATATTTTTATATTTGGTACAAAATTTTTTTCTGTTTGCTATTTCACCGATTTTAATTATTTCATATTGAAGGATAAATTTATTTTGTAAAATATGAAAATAATAAATTGATTCAGAATTTCTACACAAAAATTAAATATATATTTTGAATTTTATTATTTTTCAGGTCAGTTAGTTTGTAATTACTTAACATCTAAAGTAAAGCCCGAGGCCTAATAAAAAGAGAATCTGAAATGTATTAAGTAAAATGTGGTTATATGAAAGAATTTTAATTATAGCTTTGATACCGGATAAAGATTTTTAAAATCATTTTGAGCTTTTTTTAACTATATACAACCAAATAAATTTTTTTTTTTTAGTTTTTTCAGAAACTGAAACGAAAAAGAAAATTATTTCATTCTACCTTTACCTTTTGGGAGAATGAAATATTTAAGTTGATTAGTAAACTAGTTGACTTTGAAACTGATGCTTTTTATATTTTATGTTTTTCTGAACTAAGAAAATCATTATTAAGGTTTCAAATAGACCAAGTTGACCATAAAACATAAAAATCCCTTACTTTCTACAACACCTAGAAAATAATTACTTTAAGATATTAAATGTATTGGTATCTGAAATACGACATCCTAATTCAGAAGCACAATAAAAAAACACTTTTTTAATAATTCACAACGCCCAATATGTATATACATATATATATATATATATATATATATATATATATATATATATATATATATATATATATATATATATATATATATATATATATATATATATATATATATATATATATATATATATATATATATATATATATATGTATATTGGCAAAGTGTATTAATTTTGGCAAGGTAAACTTCGGCTTTTCTATCTTCAGATCTCAGTATTGATGGGTTAGATAGACCTTTAATTTGCAAAGAATAGTCACATGCTTGGCTTAGGGGTTTACTGATCAATTCATCTATTTGTTTAGAAATCAAGTTTGAATTCTCTAAACATTCTTTTAAGTGTTTCCACTTAGCACCTCTTCACTCTATCTTTTTGTTCCTTATCATTCCTCTCAAGACTACGCTTTTTTAGATGTAATTTCTGATAAAATTGATCGCATTATATTCCATAACATCTATTTTCAGTCTCTTACTCAAGTAGACAACTTTATGATTCGTTTTGTAAACAACCCCAATTACTTCACTTCACTCCTTAATCTGTGTCTAGCTTTTGATTCTAACTGGTGTTCAGTTTCCCCTTGTACTCCTATAACATTTTCAACAGCGCCATTAACAAAGCTAATTTTAAAAATCATTAACAAAGCTAACATTCCATCTCTAATTCATGAGACTAATCTTATTACCTCTCCTTTTTTTATTTCAAGGATTAGGCAGAAGTGTTTGTAAACAACTTTACTTCTAATTTTTTTTCTAGGTTTCTTACTTAGTACCTGCGAAAGAGTATTTAATAGTAAGTTCACGCATGCTTCGTTACCGATGTCGCAAAACTCTCCCAGAGACGGGGTTCAAACCACGGATTTTTTATTTCTGTAACAAGTATGGTACCACTGCGCCATGGTTGCTCAAACTATAATAATTTGAATTTAACTATAATTAATTTTATATATATATTGACTTGTAAATCTTATAGCGATACTCCTCTAGCCATTACAGTTAAACAGGTTAAGCCATTGTTAAGCATTAAAATTGTTCCAGCTTCCTTTGCTAAAGTCATATATCAATTAAGCTCATCTACGGATTGTGGTCCAGACAACATTCTTTTCATAGTTTTACAAAAGTATTCTTCAGAATTCTCTTTGATTCTCTCTAAACTACCGATAGATTCGCTGTCCCAATCGAGAAGATCGAATTTAACGGAGAAATGTTTTTTTCTTTTCATTATATAAGTTCCTTAATATACAACATAATAAAATAAAAATACTCCCACTGGGTACAGAACATTTATTGGATGTTTTAAGGACGTCGTAGGGACTTGTGACTATAACTTTTTATTCTGAACCTAATGGTAACCTATCGCCATAAGGGTTGTGACGTTTTAAATAAGTAAATTAATTATTTATATTTTCTCTTTGCTAACCAGTAAATAAAATTACAGGTAAAATAAACTATATAAAAAGAGCTACTATGTATATTACGACCAACTAGACGGTATGTTTTCCACAATTAGTTGTTTTAATGACAATCCCCTCAATCTAAGTTTTAAAAATTTTTCTTTATTCTTTTTAATTCCATAACTAGAATGATTCTTTTAATACTGTTACAATACCCGTATGTTCTTTCATAAGTTGTGTAAATTGTTATTTTTTAAAATTGATGTACCAGGTAATAATTTTACTCTCACAAAGATGTCTTCAAATAAAAATAACTTTTATATGCTTTGATAGGGGTAGTCCTACTTTATATTGAAAAAGTAGGACTACCAACTGAGGGTTGCTATTCATTAACATAGAAATGTCAACAGTATTGTGATAGTTGTCAGTAATAATTAACTGAGTTTTTTTGGAGTTAAAATTCAAAAGCCACTTCTAGCCTTAATCTGTAACAGAAATAGCCAGATTCAAGAAAATCTGATCTCACTTCTGTAACAAGCTGCCTGTTCCAACCAATCAAGAAGAGAATAATTTTTTTAAAGACAAGAGTAAAAATTGAAGTTGTTGGCAAATAGAGCTACCTTAGATGTAAGGTAGTGACCATACTTAAGGTCATGTATGTTCTCTGTTGATCATTAATGTAGATAAGAAACTTGAAGTACCCCAGAAGTAACTAGATAATTTTAAGATAAGTGTTGGGCTTTAAGGATGACTTAATTAAAGCGGTTAGGAAGAAATAATTTGATAATTTCAAAAACTTTCACAGAAGACTGTAATTTAAGTTTATGCAAAGAAGATAGGAAAACGAGATTCAGTCAAGCATTTATTAAGTAGTTTAGAGAGAATCTAAGAGAATTCTGAAGAATACTTTTGTAAAACTATGAAAAGAATGTTGTCTGGACCACAATCCGTAGATGAGCTTAATTGATATATGACTTTAGCAAAGGAAGCTGGAACAATTTTAATGCTTAACAATGGCTTAACCTGTTTAACTGTAATGGCTAGAGGAGTATCGCTATAAGATTTACAAGTCAAATTATATATAAAATTAATTATAGTTAAATTCAAATTATTATAGTTTGAGCAACCATGGCGCAGTGGTACCATACTTGTTACAGAAATAAAAAATCCGTGGTTTGAACTTTTATATTTAGTATTTTTACCTAAATGTAAAAGTTAATTGCTCTTTTTTTTTTTTTTTTTTTTTTTTACTTAAAGCCCTTTGAACTTTCTATGTACTTATACAGTTTTAAATGTTGTGATACTGTTTTTATTATTTTGATGGAAACTGACTGCGCTAAAAATGGCGTTTAAAGTTTTGCTCTCTAATTGGTATGTCTGAGCCTAAATAAGGAACAAATTATTTTGAACGAAAACCCCTAAATGATTGTATTTTAACAAGGACATATAAAGTTTATGAAAACCACATTTATATCATTAAATGAAACATAGGTATTTACCCATCATTTTATTCAACCGGTATACTTTTTATATTGAAAATATCGCAGAGACAACTTTAAACTCTATTTTCTCTCACAGACGGTTTCAATTTTTATGCCAAAAGAATCGTGAGTGTCTAAAGGTTACTATACATATTGTCATTTCTTGGTCCTCAGGGCTGGGGCCAAAATTAGCAAACCGTGCGGTGTTTTGATGTTTATAGAATTTTAAGGCTTTTTTAAAAATTCTCCTTTGTTATAGTGAATAATCTTTACATATATTTAGAGAACCCGCTTGAAAATTATTAATTGCAATCGGTATAAGAGAATAGAAAAAGAAACCATAAAATGGTTTCTTTTTCTATGGCATGTATAAATTCGATAGATTTAATGTGTTGTCATCTGTGCCGTTTTGCGGGTGTTCAAATCCGACCCTTAAGGCAATATATTTTCAATCTGGTCGTATAGATTTATGGCGAAAAAATAAATGTAGCAAAAAGACTTTTAATTGTTAAAATAAAATTTTAAAAGTTTTTTTAAGCTACAGGTTTTTCTTTTTTCTTTTTTTTTTTGGCTCCACAGCAGCACCTTCTGCAATAGCAGGACCGTTTCAAATATTAAGTTTCAAATCGTAATCTTTTTTCAGACCATCCTCAGCCTATAAGAACTAATAACCTGAGCGCATTATTAACATAAGTATCTCTATCAAATGTGTGCATCGGATGTCCATTCCCGCAAAATTTTTGAATCACCACACCAACTTTAAATTGAGGTTTAGACTAATAAAAAAAATGATGTTTACCAAGTATTTTTAAAAAATATAAAAATTTAAGGGTTCCCCCACTTAGAAAAACCAAACCTTTTTTATCGTGTTTTTTTAGTATTTTTGCTTAAAATGTTAACAAATATATTCAGTAACAACTTCAACTTTTCACGCAGTATAATTTACTATCTTATTTATACTTTATAAAAAATCTGAGTTTATAAAATTTATTTAAGGGCCCTCCCAATTTAAATAGTAAATTGGTTTTCTTTAATCTTCATCCAGTGCTCGACAGGCAATTGCATCCAATCTACCTGGTTTGTAGTCATCTTGATTAAATTAAATAGCAGCCAGGACCGTGGATTAATTAAAGAGACAAAGGAATGGATGTTGGCGCCATCGACTTTTGGGAAAGACGGTTTTTCAGGCTTCGTTTCTTCACTTTTTTGGATGTCATACAACTTCAATGCCATAGAAGATTTTTCAATAAGCAAAATAAATATCTGTAGGTTTGGGAGAAATAGAATCCAAAATGTCTTAAAGCGTTTTCGAAATTGGCTCATTTGGTCCGTTTTGACTTCTATTAACTGCATTCCAGATGTGACGAATATCCAGTCCGTAAACATAATAGCGACAAGCTGTCCACAACAGCACATGACCTACTTCTTTCTCAATTAGTGCTGCACATCCAGCTTTCTATCCTGTGTTACTAGAAGTGGTGTCAAAAACTAGGGCAATTAAATTATCTAACAGTTTCTAGGAAGAAAAATACTTAATGGAAGCATCTTTCTGGGCGTGACCAGCAGAGTTGATAGTTACAAGGATTTCTAGAAATTTTTTGTTTGCATCGTTTGATGATCCATCCCAACCACTAACCAGAATAGCAATATGATCTTCTTTCTTTCCTAGATACAAAAATGTTTGTTTTTTAAATATTTTAGTATTTTTCAATATTTGCACTTCCAAACACTCAAAACAGTAAGCATGTAATAAATTAATCACCCATTTATCAGTAAGTGACGAAACAAGTTTTGAATCCCAGTGATCAGATGGATGAAGAGGGTATTTCTCCTGATATTTCTCTTTTATTTGAACACCTTGTTTTTTTTGTTTTACTCTACGATTACGGTAAAATGGTGATCGCGAGATTGGAAAATGATCTCTATATATATTAAATTAAAAAGTCCCATGAGAATTTACTGTTAATTACAGTTGAAATAGCTTACGTAGATGCGTAACTTTCAACACGCATCTACGTGATTTCTAACACGTACAATTTACCAACATAATAATAGAACATGCCCTCTTGGTGAATTAACTCATAAGTCTAATCTTTGTGGGGGCTTTACTGTTCGTCCGGAGCGTGTTACTTCGAGCGCGTTGAGTTCTTGAGAATCATTTTGAACTTGAGCGACATCATCATTATAACTTCCTTTAACGTTATCAGTTTTATCGCTTAGTCTATAAAAAACATCGTTGACTGATTCATTTGAACTCTGTACGTCTGTACGGCGACGCAGGTGTGAAATGTGACGCGGATATACCCGATTCGCAGTTTCCATGTCAAACGACAAAGTATTTTGCTTTCGTACTACGCCTGGTATCCACGGCTAGTCACATTTTGTTTCTTGAGTTGGTTTTACCCAAACATTGTCACCCACTTTGAATTTCTTGCTTACGCCTTTCTCGTCTACCTTCCTCCGAGTATCGACGCCTGGGATGAAACATGTCGATCTTTTCTTGAATTGCTTGGATGGACTTTCAGTACAATTGGATGATATTGTCTCGTTGTACAGCAAGACTGCCAGAGCGATTGAACAATGAGAGCGAGCGACCGTTCTTTTTATCGTTCTGTGTATACGTTCAACTATACTATTACCTTGAGCTCGATGTGCTGCTTGATATTCCAAATTAACATGCCATTCTTCAGCAAAACTTGTTAACGTGTTGGACCGAAATTCGTTGTCCATTAGAAGACATACTGGCGGACCAAATAAAGAGAATATTTCTTCGAGTCTACCAACAACTTCAGCAGCTGCTTTAGTTGCAAGTTTACGCCATATTGTATACCGTGATGGACCACAGTCAATCATTGATAAGTACAGTTCAGCACCTACATGCGTCACGTCAATGGCAACCCGATTCCGATTTTTTTCTACGCTTAGTTGGCCATTCTTCCACTTTACGGAGTAAGGATCAATGGAGTTACACTGGTTACAATTCGCAATTACTGCTGAAACCTCCTTACGTGATACATTTTGATTATTTCGCAAGCAAAGTTGTAATGTTCGAGCAACACCAAAATGACCAATTGAATGAATTTTCCATATGTCTTTTTGTTCAAGTAATCCAGCTGCACACACTGTTCTGCACCATTTTTGAGGGATTCGTGAGAGTCGATCAGCCAAATTTATCTCAGATGGAATCCATTGTACTGCGATCTGAATATCTTTTGCCACTTCCTTAATAGTATTCAATCGTCTTTGTACTAACAATTGAGAAATTCCCCGAGTTTTTACGCGATATTCTTCCTTCAAAACTGCGTTTAACCATCCTACGGTGCTCTTGCTATCACTGTATACTGTTAACTCTTTTATGCCCCACTTACTAGCTAAGTTTAGTCCTCGAAGTATAGAATCCAGTTCACTTATATTGATATGGTGTGTGTCACTCGCTGGCCGTAGCCATGCTGCGCCTTCAACAACTACTCCACCAATGAGCAGAACTACCCCAAGTCCTATAGATGATGCATCACAATAAAGCTCAGCTTTTCCATTAACTGGTACCAGCCATTTTCCACCAACCGGATTCTCTTTTTCCACACGGTAAAGCAACTCTTTCAGTTTTTCTTTACAATCTTCAGAAATAAAAACACACCAAGGTATATTTCCAGCTAAACGTTTGATGTATGAAGCTTGTAAACGCAAACTTCCTGCCACTGGGTAATGTCCAATAAGTTTGCCTAACTGGCTGAAAAGCTGTGATCGTGTGACTGCATTTAAAGATTCGAATTGTACCACATTGTCTCGTTTCCATATCAGTTCCCCATTTTTATTTCTTTCTACTCTCAATCCTAAGACACGTCCTTGTTCAAGATCTTGTGGAGGTTTACATTGTAATCCAAATTTAAGCAGATGCTTCGCTACATTTTTCGCAGTTTCCACACTTTCATCCACAAATATATCATCAATGTAGTTATCACATGCTTTCTTTACGGTTGGATTTAAATTGACCACATGCCGAAGAATTGTGGTCATTATTGTTGGAGCCACATTGATGCCAAAACACATCCTGGTAAAACAATACCGTTGCCCATTTATAATCACCGTTTGATATGGCCAAAGTTTTTTTATCAATATGAATTTGGAGGTAGGCTTTTTTAAGATCGAGAATTTTTGCATTTTTTATTTTTCTCCAGCAACGCAGTTTTTCTTGACAAACGTCCGCATTTGCCGTGTGACAATTTTCTTGCACTACGCACATAAGCGGTATCAATACTTTTGGTGGTCCTAATATTAGTTCGTTATATGGTACAAGAGTACCAGAGTCAATCCATTCACGTATTTCTTTACGGTAACTACGTTCGTGCTCTTGGTTCATCTTGTATTCACAAATGGTATTACCAATTACAGGCTCTTTATTCCAGTTCCATGATGCCGTCCATTTTTTTCCGTCGAACTTTGCTGTGAAGTCCTGATGTTTTATTTCGTTTCTTTCGTTCTCTTCATTTCTTGTTGTATTTTTGACATCACATTTTATTTTTTGTACTTCGTTTTCGCTTTTTCTTGTCGTATTAATAACATCAATTTTTAATTCGTTTATTTCGTTTTCGTTTTTTCTCGTCGTAGTAACGGCACCACATTTCGCTTTGTCACATGCTAACATTCGGACGTTACAGTTTTTATTACCATAAATGATAACTCCTCCAAATTTTTTAATTGCATTCATTTCAAAAATCAAATCAAACCCAAATGGTTTTTCTTTTACAACCAGAGAATTAACCATCCGGTATATTCCATCAATTTCCAGATTGATTACCATTTCACCCAGCACTTGCACAGTTCCTCCCAAAGTTGTGATAAGTTTTTGACTTTTTAACACAAGCCCATGCGCGGACTCAGCATGAACCACAGTAATGGAGCATCCAGAATCAATTAATGCTGTTCGGAGCCTTCCATTTATTTTCACTTTTAATGATGGCAACGTCATTTCTGGGAGAATACTGGATGCCATTATTTCCAGATTCTCCCTTTTCCTTTTGAACCTTGCAATCGTTTAAAGCAGTTTTTAGCTTGATGATCGTGTGAACAAGTCTTGCATTTTTCTTCGCAGTCCCTTGCAAAATGTCCAAGTTTTCCACAATTGAAACATTTAACTTTGTTTATGTCGGACGCACCAGACGTCCGTGAAAGTAACGATGTTGCGCCAATCATTACATTCACGGAACCATCTAATTGTCGAGCTTCCTGGGTTACTCGTTCAAGGGTAACAGCTATTTCCACAGCCTTTTCAAAAGTTAGTTCTTCAGATTCCAGTAGTAACCGTTTGATTGTAACACCATCGTTAAAACCCGTGATGAATTGGTCGCGCATTCGATCATCTCTATCCGTGAATTTGCATCCTTCAGCAGCTCTTGTAATCCGTCGTGAAAATTCCGTCACATTTTCGTTACTTGCTTTTTTTATAATTGCAAATTCAAAGCGTAGTATTAACGATGACTTCGGTTTAAAAAGCTTCATGATGTTTTCCTCGATGTCTTCGTAGGTAACTGAGTCATCTTTAAGGTATGCAGGCAAGCATAGATCTTCTAGTGCGGAATAAATCTGTGGTGGCAAACATGTTAATATTATTGTTTTTCTTTTGGATTCGGGTACGTCCATCGCAGTTATGTATGTTCGTAGTTGGCGGACGAACCGCTGATGGTTGCCATCGAATACCGGTGGCATAATGGCCGAAATAGCTTGTTTTATCGTCGCGTCCATTTAATTTAATAACGTTTATAATCTATAGCTTTATATATTCTTTCTAACATCCTATACAAAAATCTTTTCTCTATATATATTAAATTAAAAAGTCCCATGAGAATATACTGTTAATTACAGTTGAAATAACTTACGTAGATGCGTGACTTTCAACACGCATCTACGTGATTTCTAACGCGTACAATTCACCAACATAATAATAGAACAAATAATGCATGAAATTACATGTGGATACTTCCGTTCGTTCAGTAAAAACTCCTAGTCCTCCTTCCAGGTTGCAAGTCGAGATACATGTAATATGTAATATGTGTCAGCAGCTAATATGTCACAGAGTTGATTCATTGATTGCAAAAACTGGGTTTGTTTCTTCTAGGGGCACTTCTTTCCCTTTTTTAACACAGTTTGTCATTCATAAAAACTGCGATGAAACACTCGATGCATTTATTATCTGGCTTAATTGGTAAATGAGCTCTTTTCCAAATTTCTTGTAATTCAATCAAAATATCTTTTAAAATGTTTTTTGTCGACACTGTTATTTCACCACTTCCCTTGTTGATTTCTCTGAACAAAATGTATCTTCTGAGCAAAGCAATTTTAAGGGGAAGTTTTACACCGACACTTAAACTTTTCTCTAGTCCAAATCCAATAAAGTAATCTTGATTATGATTTTGTGTGGATCTTGTTTTTTCCAATGAACGATCTTTCTCTTTTATACTAGGTTTCGGTAGTTTACGAGAACGTAGATTCATTTTTGTGGGGTTACCACAGAAAGAGCTCAATACAAACAGCAGCAGAAGCATGTAACTGAGTTACTAATTGAGATGCCGTTTAACAAAATCTGGTGCGAATTACTTGACTGAAAGTAAAAAAACAACTTTTAAACAACTTTAATTACAAAAGCAATTACAAAAACTTTAATTGCTTTTGTCTTAATTATATAAAAGTCTAATCTCTTTGGAACTCTGTTTTAGAAAATATTTTCTAAACTTAATTCGAATATTAAATTTTCTGAAAACACAAAAAGCTGAAAGTTAATAAAACATTTAAAACACTAATTTATTAAAACCACTATTTAAAAAAATTATATTAATGATTATGTACAAATCTTATTCAGGGCCGTGCGGTGCTATGATACAAAGAGGCGGCCGCCTCAGGCGGCACCATTAAGAGGGCGGCAAAGTAGCGAAATCAAAATGCAATATCAGGGTTGCAATAATAATTAGGTACTAAATCATAAACTGGACTCATTTAAATTTTAATTACTACCAAACTCGTGAATGTTTTTATCACTTTAAAAGTTTTTTCATTGTCCACATTTTTCGATAAAAATAAAAAAAAAATTTCTCCCTCATTTAGCATTCGCTTTTGCTATTCCTTTCAATATGAATAAAAACGTTTTGAAACGCATATTAGCGTGGACTATTTTCTTATTATGTTTCAAAATAATGTTTTCAAACGTTTTTAAACGTTTGTGTTTGCCTGTCTTTGCAGGTAGTCGGTAAAATGCGAACTGCGAACCGCGAACTGCGAACTGGTAAAATGCGAACTTTTTTGCGAACCATGGTTCTATTGGTTGTTAATGATGTAATACTTTATTTTCCGTTTGCCGTTAAATTGTTTATTTTCCAAAATATTTTAAGGACTACACGCAAAAGCATTTATTTAAAAAAACAAATTGAGTAAAACTAGTATGAAAAAAGAAAACTGCGAAAAAAACAGATACTTAAGATGAAAAAGTGAATAGTAAGAAAAATCTGTAAAAAATATATAATGAAGAAATAGTTCTTTGTTTATACTTCTTCTACAGATTCATATATTATAACGAAGATTCATAAAAAAGGGATATGATATTAAAAAAAACAACATTCAAGGTACACCTTTTGTTACTATAAATATATATTCTACACTCTGTTTTGATAAGTAAATATAATTAGTTAAAAATATATTTTATATATTATACGTACTTTATTAATTATATTATATATATGTATTTATATAAACTATGTAAAAACTTTATTTATAGTTTTTGTTTACTTTTCTTTTGTTTAAAGTTGTTATCAACATGATCTATCTATATATGTGTGTGTGTATATATATATATATATATATATATATATATATATATATATATATATATATATATATATATATATATATATATATATATATCATGTTTTTTTTAAGGCATTAACTTTAGCTATCAAATCTTTTATTTCGTCTGGATTAGCATCTCCTGCTGGAATAACTTCAATATCAAGTGTTCTTGGTCTTTTTCTTCCTCCTGTTTTGTCAGATTTTTTTCTTGTATTTCGACGAAGTTGTGTTAGATTAACCTGTTTTTTTTTGTTGTTTGTAACAGATAGACCAATAGCCTGGCGTGCTGCCAATATATGATAACATCTACTTTCAGCTGGACATGAACATGTCTCTTTTGGAAACAGTTTTACTACACGTGGTTCTATAGATCCTTTTACAATAAAGGTCGCAAGTTTGGGGTCAAGAGCAATATGAGAATTTCTAATGATTTCATTGGCCCTTTCAACAGAAGTTATCATAGTTGTATCTTGTACTAACTCTAATCTTTTAGATGTATTATGCATAAATTGATTGTTGATGGTTTCTTTAATACGTTGAACAATTTGTTCTGGTGCTGTTGTATCTGGAATATGAAGATCACATTCTTCATAAGTACCTTTCAATTCAGCTCTTAATTCATATTGGCCAGTTCCTTTTCGAGCACAATAAATTTCCACCATACTATATTGTATAAGTCTATATAAGCTTAAAGCCATTGAATCTACAGTAGCTTCTTTCCAGTCCTGTAGTCGCTTAATTACAGTATTAAATGCTTCTGATTGATTTGTTGTAATTTCATGAAAGTTAAACTGTTTAATTCTCCAAGATCCAAGTTTGTCTACTACACTACGAATTGTTTTGATATAGTACTCAGAAAAAGGCTGACTCCATGCTGATAACATTGTTATTAGTTTATCTTTATATGAAGATTCAGAATCAGAACGAAGAAGAGATTGAATACATTCAGTGTAATATGCTAATTCATCTTTTGTCTTCACTCCATGCAATTGTAACCATCGCTTACTGTCCTGCAAAACATGGTTCCAACAAAGAAAATGTGAAACTGATGGAAAACTTTCTTTGATGGCCTCTGTTATAGCTCGTTCTTGATCTGTGACAATAAAAACATTCTTTAAAGCAAGTTCTGGGCATACTAATTTCATATGTTGCCAAAATATGGAATGGGGCATTAGTGTTTTTCGCTCATGTATCATAAAAGCTAGTGGAATGATTGGACTTGGGTCAAACTCAGTTTCTCTAAATAGCAAAACAGAAAGATAGAAGTCACCTAAAGAAAAAGTTGTATCATATGATAGTTGCTGACGTAGTTGAGACAATTTCAGTACTTGCTGAAAAATTTGCAGTGTTTCATCTGAGTACATAACTACCACCAAATCAGGAAATGTTATTATATTATGAATAAAATTTGTATCATACGCTAATTCATGAAGATTGTATAAACTATCTCTAGATAAACGCTGCTGATTGAGTGTTGATTTTAAAGTATTACTGACTTGTTCCATGTTACGTGGAACTGCTGTTATATTTATATCAGCTGTATTTGATAATATTATGTCTTTGTATACTTTGTATACAGAACCTGTACTTTCCTTAATTTGGTTTATAACACCTGGCTATGTCCTGATAAAATCTCTATTACATCTAGTAGCATTTCCATGAGGAAACTGCACAGCCTTAGCTTCATCACCTATGTATGATATCAGAACTGAATTAGCATAATCAGCATGATAGTGTGCTCTACGTACAAACACATCACTTACTGTGTCTTGTGCAACAAGAATTCTAAAATACTTCCTTTTAATTCCATTAATTGTCTTTGAACCCCCTTGCCTCCACCTGTAACCATCTGCACGCCAATTTTCTAAATAATATTTTATGTTATTGTGAATAATTTTCCTTGGTTTTTAATTTAAAAACAATTTAATCTTCAAACGATCCTTAATTCTTTTAAAATGTGAATAAATTGTATAAATTATATATATATATATATATATATATATATATATATATATATATATATATATATATATATATATATATATATATATATATATATATTCACATATCTTACCTTTATCCTTGTCATTAGTCCACGAGAAAATGTAATTAGTACCAGCTTTTGGTTTGTACCGAACAGCGAATTCAGCGGGTAAAGATTTAAATAAATCTAATTCCATTATATTATTTAATAAAAGAAAGAATTGAATAGCAAACGTTTTATATAACTTTAATATATTATATTGCGGTCATTAAAATGTAATGTTTTGGTTCGCAAAAAAGTTCGCATTTTACCGGTTCGCAGTTCGCGGTTCGCAGTTCGCATTTTACCGATTACCGTCTTTGCAAGTTAAATTTTAACTTTGTAATGTCATCATGTTTTTAACTGTTAAAAACATGATGACATTACAAAGATTTTTAAAAATTTTTACAAAAATTTATTACAGCAATCGTCAGCATGGAACAAAAAAGAAAAAAATTATCTGGAAGTCAATACAAAAAGAAACGCTTAAAGAATGAGGAACAAGAAAGAAAGCTCAGCAATGTTATGAAGAAATTCTTAGTACAAAAGTGCGGTTTAGATGAGCCATCCACATCAGCAGCAACTGATTTGGCAAATAACAACACAGTGCCGCCCCAATCACTTCCAGAAGAAGTTGTTGAAGAGAGCCAAATACTAACACCATCAGATCTTCATGAACAGCCGGGCAGCACATCCACGTCAACTGCGACTGCCTTGGATTTGGCAAATAAAAACACAGTGCCGCCCCAATCAATTCCAGAAAAAATTGTTAAAGAGATCCAAAAAATAACATCATCAGAAGTTCATCAAGAACCGGGCCGCATTAGCAGTGGTAGTCAGCAGGTATTAAAAGAAATTCCTTCAGATCCTGCATTATGGCTTACTTTCTGCATGTCATCTCAAACTCGTCAACTACTGGTTGAGAGGGTTCCCCATCAAATTAAAGAATTCGAGTTTCCTATTAATAAAGGAAAGCGTAGATTTTTGCCCTCGTATTATTCGAAAGTGTTGAGCAATGGTGAAGTCGTTGAGAGAAGTTGGCTTATTTACTCTATTGCAAGTGATGCCGTTTTTTTGCTTTTGTTGTATATTATTTGATAGTTCGTCTGATATTAGTGACTGGCCCAAAAAAGGCTATTCTGACTGGAAAAATCTTATAAGAGCCCTCACAATGCACGAAAAGTCTGTAAATCACAGAAATGCTTTTAGAGCATGGAAAGAATTGGACATTCGATTGAAGCAGAAAAAAACTATTGACGATGAATATCAACGAATTATGGATATGGAACTTCAGCATTGGAGAGGAGTTATAAAAAGAATTATGTCAATAATTAAACTATTGGCCTCACAATGTTTAGCTTTTCGTGGATCAACTGAACATTTGTTTCAACCTAATAACGGGAACTTCCTAAAGTTGGTAGAATTACTTTCTGAGTTTGATCCAGTTATGGAAGAACATATCAGGAGAGTTCAACGAGAGTCTGATAAATGGTCAGTGACTTATCTAAGCAATAATATACAGGATGAATTGATAAATTTAATGGGAAATTCAATTTTAAGAAAAATTGTCGAAATAACAAAAATCGCTAAATATTTTTCTATAATCGCTGATTGTACCCCCGACGTCAGTCATTATGAACAGCTCTCTTTAACAATAAGAGTTGTTACTTTTTACTCCTAATTGTTACTCCATTCAAAATAAATATGAAATTGCAGAATTCTTTATTGGTTTTTTTGAAGCTAGTGATTCAACCGGAGAAGGTTTGGCAAAACTTATTCTGACACATTTGGAAAAATTAGGTTTTGAGTTAAAGTGGCTAAGGGGACAAGGCTATGACAACGGAGCCAATATGAAAGGAGTAAGAAAGGGTGTTCAAAATAGAATACTTGAAAAATATCCAAGGACTTTTTATGTGCCCTGCGCATGCCATTCTTTAAACCTTGTTGTGAATGATGCAGCGTCTTCTACTACAGAAACAACATTTTTTTTTTCTATTGTACAAGAACTTTACACTTTTTTTTCTGGTTCTACAAAGCGTTGGGAAGTGCTAAAAAAATATGTTTCTCAATTAACTCTGAAACCATTAAGTGCTACTAAGTGGGCAAGCAGAATAGATGCTTTAAAACCTTTACGATTTCAACTTTGCGAAATCTATGATGCATTGATTCTGATAATAGAAGACGTCAATAGAGATGCAGAAACTAAAGTTAAAGCGAGAGGGTTAGCAAAAAATATTAAAAATTACAAGTTTATATGTGGAGTAATTCTTTGGCATGATATTTTGTTTGAAATTAATTCAGTTTCGAAGCTTTTGCAATCTGTTACTATAAATATATCAGATTGTGTAAGGATGCTATCAGAAACCATAAAAAAAGTGAAAAGTTATAGACAATCTGGATATGTTCAGATAAAAATTGCTGCAAAGGAGATAGCAGAGAATCTCGAATGCAGTACAGAATTTCCTGATGACACTGAAGTTAGACCCAGAAGGAAAAAGCGTCAATTTGACTATGAAAAAGCTGTCGATGAACCCTTAACAGAGGAGAAAAAATCTAAAATAAACTTTTTCAACTATATTCTGGACATTACCCTTAATTCTCTGAATGAACGATTCACGCTTCTGGAAACCCATAGCAAAAAATTTCAGTTCTTATATGACATTTTAAAACTCAAGGATATAGATGACAAAACGCTAGAAAATTATTGTTCCAGTCTTGAGTTTATACTTTCGGTTGAAAATGAAACAGATATAAATGCAAATGACCTTAGAGAAGAATTGCGTGATGTATCCAGAATGCTACCATATTCTACGAAACCTTTGAATGTTTTAAATTATTTATGCCAAAATAGCTTAATTAGTTTGTATCCAAATACTGTTGTAGCTCTGAGAATTTTATTAACTCTCCCTGTATCTGTAGCTAGTGGGGAAAGAAGTTTCTCCAAATTAAAATTAATAAAAAACTACTTAAGAAGTTCAATAGGACAAACAAAACTTAAAAATCTGGCATTAATTTCTATTGAATCTGCAATGGCTAACACTCTAGACTACACATCAGTAATTAACGAATTTGCTAAAGTTAAAGTTAGAAGAGTAAAGCTGTAATACTGTACATTGTTGTAGTTTATAGTTGAAATCATTGTTTTAAAATTTCAAAATAAAAAGTAGAATTCGTACATTTTGTGCAGTTTTTTTTTAAATCACAATCGAAGGTTATTTTAAAGAAAAACATTTAAGGGGCGGCAATTCGAAGATTTGCCTCATAATGAGAAAATCTACCGCACGGGCATCTTATTATTTAATAATACTAATATTAAAACTAAATAATAATAACGTTAATATTAAAATGTTAAAAATTTTAATATTAAACTTACTGCTAAAACAAAAACTTAAAACAAACAACTTAAACTTACAAAATTATGTATTGACCACGTTGCTAAAGAAACAAAAGGAAAATAAATTTTCCTTAAACTGAGCGTCCAATTTAGACGCAACCATCGTTTTACAATAATTTATTGGTTAAAATAATTTTCGAATAATTTTTTTTTTAGAATAATTAATTGGTTAAAAGACAATCAAACTTTTTTACATTTATATAATGTACCAAAATTGTGGTAATATTGATACAGGTAATGAAATTTTTACAGATAATGAAAGAAACGGTTAAAAACTGAATATATGCTATACTATGTATATATATACTTGATATACTATTAGTATAGTATTGCTATATCAAGAACCAAGTTCTAACAATAAGATTTAGACATCTCATGCAGAATCGAATTTTTCAATAGGAAAACCTGTTAATGATCATGGAACAATTATCCTGATAATTCTTTGAATTCAATGTCTTTACTCGACAACATTATGCTATTTTATAATGGAACCAGTACATTAGTTAATGATCTTCTTGAAATATTGCCAAATCAAGGTTTGGATCTTCCCAAAGATTCAAGGAGAATTTTAAAAGCACCTTATGATAAGCGACTTATAGACAGATTCTTGCTAATTTATATATATATTTTTTAAACATTTAATTACTTGAGAATCGTATTAATATTGATACATATATTGAAATTGATACAGATATTGAAATAAATAGTTAAAAACTGGGTATATGATATACTATATATATATATATATATATATATATATATATATATATATATATATATATATATATATATATATATTAAGTATATACTTGACACTTGATATAGTATTTCATGTATAATAATTGATATACTATATCAAGAACCAAGTTCTGACTGTTTAAAAGACTTAGACATCGCAGAATCTCATGCATAGTCATATTTTTCAAAAGGAAAACCTATTAATACAGAGAGTTTATGGTGATAATTCAATATAATTCAATATCTTTAATTAACAACTTTTAGATTGTTCTATTCGAAATAATTGGACCAGTACATTAGTTAATGAACTTTTTCGAAATATTACAATATCAAGTTTTGGAACTTCGCTAATAACCAATTACTTAACTTTAGTAATTAGTTATTAGTGAAGTTCAAAAGTTTTGACTAATTATTGCCAAATTTACTAAGTAACCGATGAGAAACACTCCTTAATTTCTCCTTTTTTTTTTTATCATCTAGGAAATTTTATTAAAGTAAATGGATAATACTTATTATTAAAGAAATTATATAGTTCTTTGATTGATTGCAAAGCTATATTTCTATTGTATATATATATATATATATATATATATATATATATATATATATATATATATATTATATATATATATATATATATATATATATATATATATATATATATATATATATATATATATATATATATATATATATATATATATATATATATACACACACAACCCTTGGAATTAAGAAAAAAAAGGTTGACAATAATTTGTCGACATCAATCAAAAAAGCAAAATAAAGTGATTCAAAAGTCTTACCATTAAACATAGAAACAAGGTCAGCATTATTTGTCGACCTCAAACACTTTTAGGTTGGCATTGCTGCATGCCGACCCTAATTCCAAAGGTTATATATATATAAATATATATATATATATATATATATATATATATATATATATATATATATATATATATATATATATATATATATATATATATATACATATATATATATATATGTATAAAAGTAATATGGTAATTTATAATAATGTTTCTGTTTTTATTTTAAATTTATTGAAAAAAAAAAAGATTCTGTTTTCAATGTAGTTATTTTCTCCTTAATTCTGCTATTTTTTCTTTCAAAAAATTGACTTTCGTGACCAAATCTTTTTAAATAATAGAAAAATGTCTCTTTAAAATCCTGACTTATAGCATCAGTTTTAAAAGTAAAAATACAAAATATATGTCAAATAAAATAAAAATGAGTTTTGCTAAAATTTAAAATTATTAGAATTAGTTAAAATTTAGAACTATTAGTTATTATTAGTTAAAATTAGTAGAATTTGTAGCATTAGTTAAAATTTATATATATATAGATATATATATATATATATATATATATATATATATATATATATATATATATATATATATATATATATATATATATATATATATATGTCTTCTTCATATCCTGTAACTTCAGGGGTTGTTCAAGGTTCATTCCTTGGCCCTATACTCTTTTTAATTTACATTAACGATCTTCCAGATATTATCACATCTAAGGTGGCATTGTTCGCTGACGACACTACTATTTATTCTTGTCATGATAAGAAGCCTACACTCTGATTGCTTGGAGGGGGTATCTGAGCTTGAAAAGGATCTCACCTCTGCTACAGCATGTGGCTCACAATGGCTGGTGAACTTTATTTCAGATAAAACTCAATTTTTTTCCGCCAATTGTTATCGCAATAATTTTGATCTTCCTATATTTATGAATGGTAATGTACTAGATGAGTAATATATCCTTCACCTTCTATGATTAACTTTTACTTCTGATCTTTCTTTTAAAACGTATATCAAATCCATTGCAATATTAGCATCGGCTAAGGTTGCATCTCTTTATCGAGCTCGACACTTCCTTACTCTAGATTCTATTCTCTATCTCTATAAATCTCAAATCCTTCCCTGTATGGAATACTGTTGCCATATCTGGGGCAGATCTTCTATTGATGCCCTTTCTCTTTTAGACAAGGTGCAAAAACTCATTGTAAACATAGTTGGACCTGCTTGTGCAGCCAATCTCCAACCATTGTCACATCGTCGTGATGTTGCTTCTTTTTCTCTTTTCTATAAATACTATTATTGGCACTGCTCTAAAGCTAGTTTTTTTCTTCGAACATCAGTTCTTTGGAATTTGATTCCTTCATCTTGTTCCCTGATTCATATAATTTGCAATCTTTTAAGTCATCTGTCAATCGTTATCTTGCTCTACAAACTTAATCTTTTCTCTTCCAATAACTTCCAAACTCTTATAGTGGTTGTTCGCAGCCTTGTTGGAAGCGAAGATGTAATATATATTTTTTCTATTATAATTTATATATATATAAATTATAATATATAGTCTTTAATTCATTTACTTACTTATCTTAAGAATAATGAAATATAAAAAACGTTTAAAGTTGAGAATAGTTTTGATCTTTACTAGTATGATTCTATCGCCAAGTTTCTTGAATGTGATCAATCATTTCTCGATACTAATATTGCAAAAAGTAGTATATTTTTTATTAAGGTTAAATGTTTAGTTTTTTTTTATAAGGGTAAATTACATAAAAAATTTTGATCTGTAATTATATACATAATGCTCACTTTACAAATAAACATAATTTACACAAAATTTTTGAATTGAATAAAACACTGATGAATTGCTCCTATGCCCAATATAACTTACACTAAATTGTCCCATATCAATTACTCTAGTTTTATCATTTGAATTTAGAAATAGAAGTTATTAAATGTTGGTGGCTCATCATGCAGTGCATTTGAGAAGGGCATGCTTTCAAAGTAAGTATAATTTTACTATAAAAAGAGCATTTTTAACACCGCAATTATATTGCATACTTGATATACATAAATATATACGCTGGTCACAACAATCCAGTCAAAAATTTCTTTAAAAAAATAAATTTAGTGTTGAGAAATTCTTATTTTTTGATGTTTGATGTTATTTTTATAAATTAATAATTATATATATGTGTGTGTGTTATTTATTTCTTTCCCCTTTATTTTTACAAACTTTAAAATGCTGGTGGCAATATCTTAAAGAGTGCATCTGATCGGAAAGAAGGTGAATGACGTCAACTGTTCGAAAATTCGATTCTTGGAAATTAACAAGTGGAAGAAGAAGTTTACAAAGTTGTAATTTATAAAACTCAGCACAATTATATTATTAAAAAATTTAAATGATTTATTATTTTCTTCTTATTCTCAAGAAGTTCTGTGAAAACATAAATTTAAACCTTACGTTTAAGTAAAGCCATGTTAGAACACGTATTTTAGACGTCGAAATAAGAACGTCTAAATTAGGTTATTTAAAGACATCATTCGGCTTTTCCATTTAGCACACCTAAAAACACACCTTTATTCCGTCCTAAAAAGACGTCCTAATTACGTCTTAAAAAGACGTCATCTGGCGTTGCCATTTAGAACCAGTTCTGGACGTCCTAAAAAGACGTTCTTTCGACGTCATATGGACGTTTCCGTGCCCGCTGGGTTAAGCCTTTACGGTTAATAACTACTTTCTGACGATGCCAAATTACAAAACCACTTGATTATTTAATTCGGGGGGACCCTTAAATGAATTTTTTTTTAACTTGAATTTTTTATACAGTATAAATTAGATAGTAAATTATACTGTGTGAAAAGTTCAAGTTGTTGCGGAATATATTTGTTCACATTTTGAACAAAAATAATCACAAAACACTGTAAAAAAGGATTTGCTTAACTTTTTCTAAGTGGGGGGACCCTTAAGTTTTTATACTTTTTAAAAATACTTAGTAATATGTTAGTAAGGCCGCTATATTATTTTTTTCTTAGTTTAAACCTCAGTTTAAAAGTTGGTGTGGTAATTCGAAATTTTGCGGGAATGGGACACCCTAATGTATGCGCAACAAAATTCCCGGTGTTTTGATTTTTTTAAAAA